CTCTGGACAGAGGACATTGTTATTTGCAATATTAGCAAAGATTCATAACATATTTCACTGATCTATCAAAGCTAGTTTTTGGAATTTTAAAGCTCATTCGGGTTTCAGCTTACCCTAAGCAGTCCACGTTTTTGGGCTTGGATGTGAATTGGTTTTGTGTTTCGCCTGTCCTTCCATGGAGGAAGAAAACCCCTCCAAGGGTGATCTGGCCGTCTTGAGCAAAACTGGGCAGGATGGCTCTCCCCAGCAGCCTGCATGCTGGAGTCTGTGCTGTGACAGGGAAGGCTCCGAGAACCAGCAGTGCCAGCTGCCCCAGCATCCCGGTCCGTAGGTAACAGACCCAGTGCTGCATGGTGCAGCTTATATGACAGGTGGGAGTGGCTGCGTCACCTCACTGAGAGACTCAAATTCCCCTTTGATTTGTGCATGTTGGGTGCATGTTTCCAGGATCTTTTGTTATTTTTCAGGTCACAGGTTAATCGGGTTTCCATGTGTATACAATGCCTTCACCTTTTTGCATTTACTTAATCAATCCATTCATTTTCCTTAGTTAACGGATGTGTTATATTGACCAGCTTATTGGTTTTGGAATATACACCAAAAACATCAGATTATGTACGTTACTGTCTATTAGAATTTGGGGATCACAAAGAAAGTATAATGCCACCAGGGTTTCAGACACCGAGTTTGAGTGGTCTTTTACACCATTTCATTTGGATACAGACATGAATGCTAGCTGCCATTTTGTTAATGATTCTGTGATTCTTTATTTGCTATTTCTATAAGCATGACTGCATGTGCATTGGAATGCTTCTTTGCACATTTCCCATCATGCTCTCCTTTGAGATTTACACACACATACAGGTGAGAGCGAAGCTTGGGGTCTGAGCTCAGGGTCAGCCAGCGTGCAGCATCCCTGTTGTAATCGGGGTTTGAGAGATTGTTCCCGGGGTGCTGCGTGCTCGCTGACCCTGTTTGCCCAGGCAAGATTCTGCAGATAAAATTTCAATTGTTCTACTAAATGATATTGTTCTTGTCATTGGTAGCATTGTGAGCACTTTTTGTTTTTGCATCAAAATGGGTTACGTGAACTATCATATTCTTTAAATGAATACTACAGATTTATTCTAAAGAAAACACAGTGATGAATGACCCATTTCAAGAAATTATAATATTAATAGACTAATAGGAATGTTCTTCTAAATATCAAAGAAGACAGGAAATGGAATGCTAGTATATATTCCCACATGGAAATTCTTAATTCGTTTTTTTCTGTGCATTATAAAATACCTTTATTAACTGTTATATGTAGTTTGACTGTTATATGATGAAGGTCACAACTTCACACGGTTCATTCCTCCTCACAACTCCGTGGCATTGTTGATAATTACTACTGTTCCTTAAACGTGGAGCCCTGATTACAAGTAGAATCTACATGGATTCTCCAAAGGCAGTAGAGCATAAACATCCAAAATGGCCACTTCCAGTGGTGGAAGACCACAGGAAGGCTGGTGTAGAGATGGAAGACCCTCAGCAGTGTCTCTGTTGAGAGCAAGGTCACACTCAGAGAACCATAGAGAGACAGAGAGATAATTCAAACGCAAGTGTGGAATCTTTAATTCGGGATAGAACAATGTGCTTACTGTGTCTACCTGTGGTTTCTTGTGATAGAACTGCCATTTGCTTTTATGTGACAAACAAAGTCAAACTCAGTGTGGACCAAACTGTGTGTTGATGTATTTGTTTTATATAGCAACATGTAAAGCATAGGGTACGGCATGGTGGTGCAGTAGTTAGCACTGTCACCTCACATCCCTGGGATCTGGGTTCCATGTGTGTGGAGTTGCATGTTCTCCCCGTGTCATCGTAGGGTTTCCTCTGGGTACTCCAGTTTCTCCCCACAGTCCAACAACATGCTGAGGTTAATTGGAGTCACCAAATTGCTTGTAGGTATGTGAGTGTGCCCTGCGATGGGTTGGCGCCCCATCCTGGGTTGTTCCATGTCTTCCACCCATAGCCTCCAGGATAGGCTCCAGACCCCTTGGGACCCTGAACAGGATGTGCTGTTTCAGAAAATGGATGGATGTACACTATATGTTGTTTAAATGCAAATGTACAAAAATACTGATAACGCTTTACTTGAGGGCACAAAAATAATGTAGTACACTTGATTAACCAGAAACTAAGTGTTGGATATGTACTGATCCCTTCTTTGTTCATTATTAGTCAGTCATCATGGTTCATGTATTTCATCTATCCATCCATTTTCCTGAAAATGCTTGTTCTATTCAGGGTTATGAGGGTCTGGAGTCTATCCCAGAGGCTACGAGCGCAATGCAGGGAACAACTCAGGATGGGTCGTCAACCCATTGTA